ATTACTCTGGTGTATCTATTTTGATCCACTTCTCTGTGAAATTGACAGTTTAAACAAAGGGTATCAAATACAACACATATGGACTAATGATATTTTAAATATGACTACTTCCTCGTTATCATTAGAAATTTCCTCTTTAAGTTATATGGATGATGCTAATTGGATTTCAAATTTCAAAGAGAATTTAGAAGATATTCTAAGTATTGCCGATGAATTTTATGGATTCACTAGAGCTGCTATCAATAAAAATAAGTCTCAATTTATTACTAATTCTCCTGAATGTCTTACTACAGTCCCATTAAAATTTGGAACTTCCATTTTGATCTTCCTCCTAAAAGATCTTCTATTCATTTTCTTGGAGTCTGGATCAATATAAACTCTTCAACTTTTGTTAAACGCCAATGTATAGATACAATTAGATCTTTCACCACTGTGTTCAAGAAAAAGCCTTTAACAGATAAACAGATTTTCTATATTACCAACATGGTTCTTTTCTCTCTTTTGGAATACCGTCTTCAGACTATCCCATTATCCAAAAATGAATGCATTAGAATATCCTCTCCTATTAGAACACTCATTAAAAATAATTCACGCTTTGCTATCTCTGCTCCTAATTGCCTATTCACTGGAAATATCTTTTACCAACTTAGAGATTTATAGAATCAACAACTTCAATCCTTTTTAACTGCCCTTTTATATCAATTTAACTCTACTTTACTATACCATCAAATTTCAAGAATTAGACTTTTTCAGTTACAATCTAATGAAGGACTTCATGTTTTTCCCTTGGCATGCTGGAATCACCCATATGATAATAAATCTTATAAAAATCTAATTGGAGCAATGATCAGCTTACTCAAGCTTGATTGTTTAGATATTAATTTCCAACTAAATAACACTTTATTGAATAAAATTAAAGACGGCTCATTACCATTAGACTTTATTTTAACATTAACACAATTAGCTCAATCTATGATTATGATAATGAAATACAAATTGATTTTTCTCGATCAATTTTTGGCAACTGATGGATTCTCTTTACTCTCCTGGGTTGAAATAATTAGCTATTCTTACTACTCTACTATTTCACTCCCTTTTCCTAAACTTCCTAAAATTTATACATTAGTTTCTTCTTTAATTTTAGATAGTCTTGATAATAATATAATTAAAAATATTTTTAGACTAGCTTCTAATAGTTTATTTTTTTCTCCAAGTTTAGATGTAGATATTAATAGTAAAACTAGAG